AAGAGAGAAAGAGAGAAAGAGAGAAAGAGAGAGAGAGAGAGGAACCCTAACCCTTCCCATGAATTTACGCTAATACTAACTTTCCTACTCACACTTGAAGACACAGGCATTTCAATTTCAATTTCAATGCTATCTATCACCCTAACCCTACCCTAACCCTAAGTCATTTTCAGGTACCTCTATTTCAGCACTATCCATGACACTTACAAAAAGAGGAACCCTAACCCTAACAATCATACCCACACTCCAAACGTCAGTTACATGAATTAGAACCCTAAACCTAAACCTACTCCTAACCCTAACCCTAAGCAGCAGAACCAAATTCCAATACCCAGTTACTTGAAATTCTACATTATCCCTAACCCTCACCATGAACTTATGCTAATACTAACTTTCCAACCCACACTTGAAGACACAGGCATTTCAATTTTAATGCTATCTATCACCCTAACACTAACCCTAACCCTGACCCTAACCTGACCCTCAGTCATTTTCAGGTACCTCTATTTCAGCACTATGCATGACACTTATGAAAAGAAGAACCCTAACCCTAACAATCATACCCACACTCCAAACATCAGGTACATGAATTGGAACTCTAAACCTAAACCTAATCCTATCCCTAACCCTAAGCAGCAGGAACAAATTTCAATACCCAGGTACTTGAAATTCTTCATTATCCCTAACCATCTCTATTAACTTATGCTAATACTAACTTTCCAACCGACACTTGAAGTCGCAGGCATTTCAAATTCAATGCTGTCACCCTAACCCTAAGCCTAAACCTAACCCTAACCCTTACCCTAAAACCCTAACACTAGCCCTAACCCTAACCTTAACCAGAAACCTAACCCTAACCCTAACCCAAACCCTAACCCTAACCCAAACCAAACCCTTGCCCTAAATCATTAAGTGAACCAAATTGGCCACTGTATATACCCTAGGAGCTCAAATACGCAAAGCTGTTATAAAATGACCTGCATGACAGTCAAACACGAGGTGTGAACAAAGTATATGATGATTCTTCAAATCTTATAAAAACATTACATTAAAAGGCACATTGTCACTAATTCTACTCAAAATCCTCATCTGGCTTTGAATGCACTTTTCCTATCATTCTTGCCACTTTCTGAGGCAGTTCTAGAAGTTCTTTCCTGAGTGTCTTTACGAAGTATGATTAAAAAATACAGTAAATGCTATCAAGTGCCATCCAATGAAAGGCAGCCTCGTAAAAATAACACAGTGTGTTGTCTTCCACCTTATTCCCTGGATCTGGCACTGTGTGACTTCTGGATGTCCTCCAGAAAATGTTTTGAATCAGGACAGAGGTAGTCACAACAGCCCAACCAAAGACACTCAAGAATTCCTCCTCTAGCTCAAGTCTGAAATCATAGCATTCTGGGAGGCTGAGGCAGCAGGATTTTAAGTTCAATTTCTACCTGGGGAACTTAGCAAGATCCTGGATCAAAATAAAAAATGTTCCTGTGTTCAATCCCCAGGACTGCTCATGTGCACACATGCATGTGTGCGCACATGCATGCGTATACACACACACACACACACACACACACACACACACACCCTAACTAGGAGACTAAGCAGGAGCAGGCTTTTCTCACCACTACCTACAGGTGAGGTGGGTCAGGGAGGTGCCACGTGTCTCATCCTGGGCATTCTCACCTTCCTCCTTTGTGCTGGAGTCGCCACTTGTCATTACTCACAGACTCTGGGCATTTTGCGAGCATCACGGTTTCCCTGAAAGCCCTACAGATTCTTGGTTGTGTGAGGTGGGCTCCCCTCCCTGCCCCGGCCATGTGTTCCCAGGGTTCAGCTCTGAAATTCCTGTTATCAATCTATGGAAGGAGGAAGGGCCAGAGGTGATTGCTGCATGGCCTTTTTGAGTAAATAAGAAAATCATATATTTGGGAGCAACTAGGAGTCCAGACCCCTGCCCTTGGCTGTGAGCCCAAGCTCCACAAAGCCCCTCCCCTGCCCCCAGGCCACTTAGGTCACAATGACCAGGATGCTCCTCCCCCTGCATCTCCTGCAGTTGAGTGCTAAGGCAATGTGGACAGCAAAGTCTTTACCACTCTGTCAAGTGTAGCATTTGAATCATGGCAGACTTTAGGATGGTCCGTGACTGTATGTGGGTCTAGCATGTCCTCGTGTGCTTGTACTCTCCTTTACTTGGGACCTGAGAGCAATGGCCTGCTCTGGGCCCCACAGGATAGGTCAGGACCCTCAGGTGGTTGGGAAGACTGGAGCAAACCCTGTTTATCCCCCAACCCCACCTCTGTAACTTCACTGATCTGGCTTCCCAAGACTCCATGGGCTGTTGCTGCTGCCCCTGTTTGTCCCTAACTGGGGCTGTGCATGGGAAGGGTACTTCTCCTTCCTAAGCTCTGGCAGCTGTCACTGTGAGCCCTTTGTTCCTGCAGGTGAAGGAAGACTGGAAGTGCACTGCCAAGGTCATTGACAGAAGACTCCTCTGGTTGTTCATCTGCTTTGGGGGAACCATCAGGCCTGCTCTTCGTTCATTCCTGGCTGGTGTTACTTGACTTCATGACCCTTGCGTTGGCTCCAAGGTAGCTCTACCCACCACCTTCTAGCATCTTTAACTGTGGCTGCCTCTAGGGTATCCTTTGGGGTCAACACCATCTGCCTGAGGTGCCCCTGTGGAGTCCCTAACCTGGCCCAGACATTGCAGCCTTCCTGGCACAGTTTTCTCGACATTACTGCACCCCATGCTGTGGTCCGCTGGACACAAAGCCCTGCTATGGGGGGCGGGGTGCAGAACTGGAAAAGGTGAAGGCTTCTGCTCTGCAGAAGACTGGGATGGGGCAGTGACAGAATGAAGCAGAAGATGCTCTGAGGGGAGCAATGTGGACCCTAAGTGACAGAGAATATGCAGGGGGATGGAGGGATGAGACTGGGGTACAGAGACAGAATACAACTCCCGGAGGGCAGATGGAGAAAAGGGAAGGAAGCCTGGGGGTGGAAAGACTAGAAACAACACTGTGGGTGCAGGAAGGAGCCCAAACTGTCAAGGAGGAACAGAGAGGGGTAGACAGCTTCCTGCAGATATCGGGGCCATTTCCCCCACTGAAGCACCTCTGACTCTCTCCCCCTCTGCATCCCTGCCTACTCCTTCCTTGTTGCAAAGTGGCTGTCACCAGGCAGCAGAGCTGAGCCACTGCTTACAGGATGCCCTTGCACCAAACCAGGCAGTGGACAAATGAAAAGACAATCCATTCTGAGTTATTCTTGTTCCAACTCAAGCTTGCAGCTTGAGCTGGGTATGGTGGCACACACCTGTAATCCCAGCATTCTGGGAGGCTGAGGCAGAAAGATCAAGTTCAAGCCTAATCTGGGAAACCTGTACATGAGCTTGTCTCTAAGTTTAAAAAGAGCTGGGCATGTAGTTAGTGCTCCCTGGGTTCAATTATCAATACTACAAAAATCAAAACAAAACAGAAAAATCCAGCTTGTTGGGCAGCACCTCTGCTCCTCCACAGAGTCTGGTCCCTGATGTTCAATTCTTTCAGCATGAACTCCTCCAGGCCAGGGCAGATGCATTTTGTCTCCCCTCCCCAGCACCTAGCACAGGGCCACGTGTGTGGGATCCATCATCAGGACCTGTGATCCATGAAGCATGAAGCTGAATGGCTTTGGGCCCATGCTGCTGGGTAACTCAAGGTCTTGAGAAGGTTCTCTCCCAACTCGGTCTCCTGGGTCTGACAGGCTCTGAATGGATCTGTGCAGCTTGCTCTGGTGCCATGGCAGAAAATGTCCCATGGTCTCGGCTACTTGGGAGCCCAGAGTCTGCTGCTAACAGAAATGGGCACTGGGCTCTCCACACAGTGCAAGACCCCAGGCAGGAAGCAAACTAGGGGGAGCTTTCCATTTCCCTGCAGTCTCAGGGTCCCCTCCTCCTAAACCCACACACATCTCTCCCTGGCAGGCCCAGAAGAAACTATCTGCCCAGGACTGTGGCATTTTTCTGTTTCTGGGTCCCCTCAATCTATAAAACAAGAGCCCATAGAGGGCAAGGAAGGGTGTTGACCAAGATAGTCAAGTGCTCTAGGGATAAACTGGACCCAGGCCTGGGCTGAATCCAACCCTCCACAGAGCCTGGACCTGAGATCACAAAACTGGATGTGACAGACATCCCAGACCCCAGCCAATCCACCTGGACCAAGCCCAACAGAACCCCCTTCACAGCAAAATCCAGATGTCAGCCAGTGTTCAAGAGAATGGTCAGGGGCAGTGATCAAGTGTCTTGACTCATGTTTTAGCTGTCTACACAGATGACATTTCTTTTTGCCACCACATCCCCAGTGCATAGCACATACCAAGCACTTAAGAGTGTGAGCATTTGTCCAAGAAAATGAATGAGTGCATGGTCATCCCGAGGGTACAGAGCTCTCCCATCAGATCTGAACCCGGAAACTTGCCCTGGAAGCTGACCAGGTCCCAGGGACATCCCAGCCCCCTGAGATGGTGGTACCTGCCCAGCTGAGCATCCTCCATGGGCTGCTGCTGCCACACTGAGGGAGGCCCAGGACTGTCCCAAACATGCTTGCCCTGTCCTGCCCAGAAGAGCCACAGAAGGACAGTGTCATGTGGCTGACTGCTGCTCAAAGCACCCTGTGAAGGGGAGGTCTGTGACTGGGCTCCAGGTGGACAACTACAAATGTCCAGCGGCACCTGGCCAGTTTCCTTCAGCTGCAATAAGAGACTCACAAAGTCAAGGTTCAACAGGGCCATGCTCCTTCTGGGGAGGACCTGGTCCTGCCCTTCTCAGGTCAGAGAGGTGGCACTTTCCTGGGCCCATAACCCCTCACAGCAGCGGCATCACTCCAGCCTCACTTCTGCCCTCATGTCCCTCTCTGATTCTGACCTCCTCCCTCACTCTCCCATGGCGCCCCTCAGGTGGCCCAGCAGTATCTCATCTGAATATCCTTAACTTTACCACACTGAAAAGGCCCTATTGCTGTGCAAGGTAACAGCTGCATGGGCCCTGGGGACCAGGATGTGGACATCTTTGGAGACCACAACTCTGCCTGTCACCATGTCCATCTCACAGAACACCCAGACTCCCATGGGGACTTTGTGATCATTTGCTATTGCAATGACACATTCACCTTATTAGTCCAGACATGATGAGATAAAGGCTAACAGGAGGGGGAAGGGGAAGGTGCCCTGCCCCCTGCATGTCATTAGTAAGAATTCACCTGGATGATCTGAGACCTCAATTATGAAGTTTGCCACAGGAGCTGGCTGGGTCCCCAAGGGCCACCTCAGCCTCTGGGGTTAGCTACTCAAATGTCAGAAAGCTACCTACTGGGACTCTGCTGGCAGAAAGGAGGCTGCCCAGGTTGCCCTGGGAGTCTCTGTGGAAAGACAGGTGCAAGGGAGAAGTGACAAATGAGGCACTGTCTGTCTGGGACCAGGACATTCACCATTGCCCTTGAAGATGATGGCAGAGAGGGCAAAAGGTTTCCACATTCAGGATGAGCTGCCTCAGGGTCAGCCCCATGTTCTGGGTGGAGGAAAGGCCAGGGAACATTTTCCTCTTGCCTTTTTTTTTTTTTTCTGGTACTGAGGATTAAATCCAGGAATTCTGCACTGAGCTACGCCCCAAGCATTGGAAAAGCATTGCCAGATTACATGGTAAAAGCATGCCTAGTTTGGTAAGAAACCACCACAATGTCTTCCAAGGTGCACCATGTTGCACTCTCACCATTAACAATGAGAGTTCCCGTTGCCTTTACTGCAGTCTTTGCCCTTCTCAGTTTCATCTGCTCCTATGGCAACTCCTATCATCCATGTCCTAATGAATGCCATGTCTGTCCTTCCACTTGGATATCTCAATGTCTCCTTCCCTAGCAAGTTTGAGGTCAAATGCCCAACTTGACTCTGTAAGCCTTCTTTGCAGAAGAACTCAGGACCTGACTCAGACACTGTTTACTGTGACACTCAACATCTCTTCCCAGTCATGTCTCCTTTTATTTTCCTGGTACTGGGGATTGAACTCAGGACCTTGCACTTGCCAGGCAGGCACTGTACTACTACGCTAAATCCCTGGCCCCAGTTATTTCTCCTTTCATACCTTTGCTATAGGAGTGGGAAAAGTTAAATCCTTTTGCCATTGAGACACGCAGACATCTACATGTCAACAGAGGCAGTGTCAAGCGGACCCCTGGAAAAGATTTTGTTTTCTGCTATAAGGCCAAGGGAAGCAAGCACCATGATCCTTCCCATCTTATTATCTGAACCCCTGCCTGGTGTCTAGTACTGTAGCCACTGTTCAGTCATGAAGAAAAGCACCAGAGAAGCAGTCTGACATCACTGAGTCCCTCAGCCAGGCAGCTACTGAGAGACAGTAAGGACCTATATCCTGGCTTCTTTTACTTGTGAGAATAAAGCCCTATACTTTAAATAATGCTTAATAGTGCCAGACTGGTAAACAGCATCTATTAGCTAATGGTAATACCACAGTCCAAGACATACAGGCCAAAATAACTGACAGAATTTTCATATCTTTTCAAGTTATCATCCACCACAAAGAATTCTGAATCCAGTTCTTTCCATTACGCAGTGGGTCTAACCTGTTTTATTCTCATTTTTGTTCTACTCTATGTCAAGGTCATGATCTAGACAATAACACTGTTTAACTTTTCTGCCCCTTTCCTTATCCCTCTAATAAGTTGCCTCCTACCATCAGCTATCATTCTAAAACACAAGTGACACTTTTATACTCAAACACTTTAGCCAAGTCTTGCATTATTTTCTTATACTGATTTTATGAATAACCTTCCAGATGAAAAGGAACGGCCAAATTTTTAAAAAATATTGTTAAACATATTGAGATAAAATGAAAATAAATCTAGAAAGATGACAAAAAGTGAAAATGGAATAAAAATATAGCTACAGACAATAAGTGATTATCTGAAGCTTTCTTTCACCCTAAGATAGTTTGTCAAATCCCAGTGAATTTGAGCTTCCACTTAAATGGCTACAAGGGCAAGCAAGGGCCTAGATTTGCCAAGGGGTATCATGTGAGATCCTCTCCTAAAGCTGGTATCCTAGATGGCCTCACCAGTGGTATTCATGTGAGCAAGACACAAGCCCTTCGTGCAAAGTAAGACAGCAAAGGAACATGTCTTCCTGGACTGTGAAAGGGTAGGTCTCTGAGAACATGCTGTCCATCCCCAGCTGCCAGGCAGGGTTAGTACCAAACAGATCGCCTGACTCCTTGCTGCATGTATGGTTCTAAAAGCTGAGGATCTGAGTGCTGTGCCCTGGAGAGATCCACAGACAAGAGTAAAACAAATCATCTCACAATTTGCTCTAATAATTCACATGAAGTTTCAAAGACCCTGAGCTCACAGAAAAAGGAGTTATAAAACATATGAGAGAAAAACACATTACTAATGAATGTCAGTGAAAGCATAGGGTAACAGGATCATATAGTTCAACAAATAGCCCAAGTGTTTCAATTATCAATCATGGAATATAACGTGTATTCTGTATCTTACAGGAAAAAGAGGCTTGAGCACAAGAGCAAAGAAAATGACTAAAAATGACTGAATAGATTTGGGGAAAATAGATTGAAGTTATACAAATTAAAAATAAATAAAACTTAATACTTAGCAAATGAGTTAAACAGCAGATTACTCACAGATTAAGAAAGTGCTAGTAGGTAGTAGGGCTGGGGATTTAGCTCACTGTTTCCACTGCCTGCCCCATAAGCGCAAGGACCAGAGTTCAATCCCTGATACCAGAAAAAAAAAAAAAGTACTAATAAACTGCAGGACAGATTTGAGGCAAATATGGAAAACATAGCCAGAGAGACAAAAGAAATGAAAATATAGCAGAGATGCTAAGAGACACATTTAAAGATCTCAAATAGATCTATTCAGTGTTCCAGCAAAGAAAATATAGGGTTTAGGGAAATGGCAAGATAGAAAGAAACAGAGACAAGGACCACCTTGCTGAGATGGTGGTGGGACAGACAGCTGGGTGACAAACCCCTGGATGCAGTAAATCAGTGCCCTTTGTAGCATGGCATGTGTCACCAAGACACCCTAATAAAACCACAAAAGCAAAATGTCTGTATGAAATAAGTTGTTACTAAGGAAAAACTTAAGACCTCTAGCTTCATTTGGTCTTAGTAAGCTTATAAATCACTAACATCAGAGGTCACATAGCGGCACTATAAATTATTAGTTGCCTACTAGCTTTGCTGTATCACCTCTGGCATGAGTTATGACGTCAGTTGCCTGGGTTACTTCTGGGGACCTGAAGGCCACTTTTGTTAAGAACACTGACCCTTCACTTGAACCTACAGAAACCTGACAGGTGACTAAACTGGAATAAAGGTTTACAATACTGTCCTCATATTATGTCTGTCCCCTTTGCCGTTAACCCTTGGGTCAGATTGTACTTAGGTCTGCCTGTAGACATGTTGACTTTTTTTCCATTTTTATTCGTATGTTTTTGATACATAATAAATACATTAATCATGGGGAAATGGCACACATACACATTGCATCTTGATCCTTTTTACTTCCTTTGCCCTCCCACCCATCTCCCTCATCTCCAGATCCCCTTCCCATCTCCACATAGTCTATTTTGATGTTGATCATTTAAAAATGTTTAGATCAAGAGTATAGGGCCAGGGATTTAGCTCAGTGGTTCCGGCGCCTGCCTCACAGGCGGAAGGACCCGAGTTTGATCCCCAGTACCAGAAAAAAAGAAAGGAGTATAATGTGGGGTTAACTTGGCCTGTTGCCCACTGGATGCTGTGTGTTTTCTTCTCTCTCCCCTCTTTCCTGTCCCGGTCCTTATGCTTTGTCAACAGCCACAGCAGTCAATCACCTAAAGTCCTTGGGGCCCAGACCAAACCACTGAGATGGTTTTTTGCACAGGACAATAATGCCAACTACACAAAAATTCAACAGCCTTTAGGATGGGTTGACCACAACCACCCTGGGGGCCAAGTCTCACGTAAGAAGAAATATTTTCTGGAACTGTACCCCTGACCAGTGGAAATTACTGGACATCAGCCTACCCAAGCAAATCCACAAAAGCTCACCACTCCTTTTGTTCTGCAAGCAGCTGGATCTTCTTTTTGTTGATCAGCAATGTCTCCTTTTAGTTGAAGCCCTGATAATGGCTTAACATGTCAGCCATTAAAACCACAGCAAATTAAAACCACAGTGAGATTCCTCTTCACTCCTGCAAGAGCACTCATAATCAAAATATTTTAACAAGTATTAGTAAGGATGAGAAAAACTAGAATCCTTACATGTGGTGCAGCCTGTGTGTGAAACATCCAAACACGGAACAGAGATTTACTGTACTACTCAACCCTTCCATTCCTAGGTAGATACCACAAAGAAGTGGAAACCCTAGCTATCCCTAACCCCTAACCCTAATCCTGATTCTTAACTCTAAACCCTTAACCCTAACCCTAACCCTGAGGTAAGCTATAAGAGCAAGATAGAAAACAAAATTTATGCCAAGGAATAAGATACTCAGAAAAGCATGTACCTGATAAGGACTCCTAGCCCAATTTATATTAAGAATGTCTACAAAATCTATTAGAAGTACACAAACAACCTTAATAGTAAAATGGCCAGAAAACTTTAATGGGCCTTGTAAAAAAAAAACGGGATATCCAAATCACCAGTGGACATATGAAACTGCATTAACCACTGGGGAGACCACCTTGAAATCACAGACCACTAAAACAAGTCAAATGAGGACAAGTCCAGGAGGACAAGAAGCACTGAACTCTCACGCATAGCTGGAAGGGACAGGACTGCTGACTCTGAAACTGATAGTGCCTGATACAGGGAATACAGCAGAAATGTGTTATATGTGTACTAGAAATGTGGAGAAATGTTCATGTGTACATTATTCTTAAGAACTAAGCACTGGGAACAACTCAAATGTCCACCGTTCATATACTACAATATACACACTGTGGTACATAGAGTGGACTATACAATGAGGAAGAACCCACACTGCCCACAGCTCAGAATAACCCTCACAGACCAAAGCTGACCCGAGGAAGGCAGAAGGACAAGGTGTGCCATTTCCTTTGTGTACCATTCAGTACAGGGAAGAGTGATCTGCAGGTCATGAGTGAGCACACCACCACTGAGGGGCCCCACCTGGAGGAGCACATGAGGAAATGTGTGTGTGGCCATGTTTGGCCTGAGTGCTGGGTGTGTGCACGTGCAGTTTGTGAGATTTCATCGCTCTATATTCATGACTTGTTGAGCTTTCAGTATATACTGTATACTTTAATAAAATTTTGCAAAACATCAAAACAACACAAAGGCAAATTGCAGATGTGGAACTACTGATACGGTAGTTTCTTTGTAATACTGAGAAAAGGTTACAAAGGAAAACTTTTAATTCCATGTTTGTGAAAAATAATGCATGTGCATAGAAATAGGATATATAGCATTAGTTCATTAAAAATATTTATTGAGCATGTACTATGTCCAGCACGTAATTTACCTGGAGGACACCTACACAGAATCATCCCATGCAGAGACCCTCAAATGCATGCCACCACCAGCTCTCATACTGAGCCACAGCAGCGCTGCAGCCCCCACACCCCACCACCCAGCTCCACAGTCCTACATCCTACACCTGGGACAGCTGAGTCAAGGGCAGCAGGGACACCATTGGCACACGATGTGTGTTCATCATGGCCATGGGGTACACAGGCTGCATGCACGTCTGAGGAGTCTAGAACTACACCTAGCTAGGACACTGAGCCACAACCACCAACAGGCAGCAGTGTGAGCAGCACGGAGCAGACACCTGGGAACACAGCCTACTCTATAGAGGGATAACACTGGGTAACGGCAATGGCAGCTCCTGCCTGTGGAGGGTCTTGATGTCATCTGCCAGGCTGGGAAGGGGTCACAGTGGCACAAAGGGGCACGGACTTCTCAGTGGGTGCTCTGGCAGCCAGATGCATCCTCATCCCTCAGGACACACCTTGCTTCCCAAGCAGCTCATCCATTATTATCTCCAAATTGGGAAGACTTTCTCTCCCACCTAGAAGAGATAAAAGAGTACAAACCCATCTAACAGTATTTCTCCACAGTTTCCAAGAGAATGGCATTCAGGGGTGGCTATTTTTTTTAAATGACAAACACTTAAACTTTGACTATGAAATTATCACAAATCGGTTATTAAAAAGTAAAAGGAAGCCACATGATTATTTTTTCTTTCTCTATTTTCAGTACTCCCTGACCCCTGAGGCCTGAGGCCTCCAGCAGGCCCTGACACCCTATCCCAGGCAGAGTCACCCCCACCACCATCTCCATGTGAAGACAGAGGGTGCTCGGCCTCTACCACATGTCCAGACCAACTGCGGCCTCTGAGCTGTGAAAGGTGCCTGCCAGCCTGTGTGGATCTCTCTCTTACTGTCACCTAAAGAAATGCCTTACTGTCCCGAACCTTCTACTTCCTATTCTGTAAACGGAGAAATGAAGCTAATAAGAGCATCCACCTCCTGTATGAGGATTACATAAAATGATACAAAACGGTGAGGCACTCCACCAAGGGTGAATAAAACCTTTGCCATAGTGATCACCACCCAGAGCTGTTTTTGTGAGGACTGTATCCTCAAGACATAATTTTACAACTAAATAACTTTTTTTTTTTGGTACCAGGGATCAAACTTGGGGCCTTGCACTTGCAAGCCAGGTGGCGGAACCACTGTAAATATCTTACTTTTTGAGATGTGGGGTCTTGTCTGGAAGTCACAGCCCAGCTCAGAGTGACCGACATGTGCCTTCTCCATACTGAGTTTCTTTGCAACACAACGGAACCTGTGACCACATCTCCACTGTGGACTGGGACTGGGTCATCCATCATAAACAAGGTCTGTTTCCAGTGCGTGGTGCTGCAAGACAGGATGTGGGTTACCTGCAAGCCTGACCTGGCAGTCATGATGTGGCCCTCAGGTGACCCAGCCTGATGCCTTGCACTCTCTGCAGGAGCCTGGAGATACAGAGCTTGACTTCTCAGTGTAATGAGGAGAACACACCTCTAGCCCTGCGAACTAAATGGTCTTTATGGAACATACCAGGCTCAAAGCCACAACACAGGCAGACCCCCAGCATGGACATAGTGGCGAGGACATTCTTCCAGAGACCTCTGAGGTTCCCAGAGGTAAGGACGTGTGCCCAGGTCACCCACTAGACAGGGAGCACAGGTTCTCAACCCCATAGTGGAGGACAGCTGCCCACCCAGAGCCACTCTGCCCTTCCCCCAGCTGCTGATGCCAGCGTTATTCACACCCATAAAAGACTGACATACACTGACCACACCAGGTCAAATTGTCACTTCCATGAGGTGAACAGAATGTGAACAGGAGAGCCATAACCTTGAGGGAATTACAGACTACAGGATTCTCTCTCAGGGAGGTGGGAAATCCTCCGCTCTTTGGGCCTGAGGCCAACGTGCCCAGCACCATCCACAGGCTGGCCTGGGACCTCTCTGTGCTCTCGCCAAACCTCCTTGCTCTTCCTCTCCTCCTTGACCTCATCACCTTGGGGTCCACTGCCCAGGCACCCACCATCCACCCGGTTTCCCATCTGCTGCCTATGCCAGGTAAGGAGGAGGCTGGAAGGCACCAAGACCTGTGCTACCACCCAGAGCACCTGAGGGCAGTCTGCACTGCCATGCATGGCTGAAGAACTGGGGAACTCTGGGCAGCCCCTTAACTCCTCCCCAGGGGGAGGCCACGGGACCCACTTCTGGGGCAAAGATGATACTCTAGGCAGTGGCAAGAGGGGAGCAGGTGGGTCCACGCTCTGTGCGCCCTCCCTGTGCACACCCTACATGCCCCCATGGGTATTCACGGGTGCCGCGGGCCAGTGCTCAGCACCTGCTGTGGCTGGCCCTCCTCCAAGCTCTGGAAGTGCACACTGAACCAAGCCGTGAAGCCATGCAGGGTCCCGGACTTCTGGATGTCGAAGTGCAGCTCCCCACGCATGGACTGCACCAAGCACAGGATGGTGTTTGGGGCCATGCAGCCTGCCCCAACCAGAACCCCTACCCTAGTCCAACCTAGACCCCAACCCACAGGGTTCACAGCCCAGCCCCAAACACAACCTCAACCACAATCCAACCCAACCCCATCTCGAAACCTGACCCTAAGCCAACCTCAATCCAAACCCAAACCACATGGTTTGCAAATCAGGCTCAAACTCAACCCCAACTCCAACACTAACCACAACCCAAACCCAACCAACTCCAAATCCAACCCTAATCACAACCTAACCCCAACCCAACCTAACCACAAACACAACACAACCCCAATCACAGTTCAACCCCAGCCCAACTTCATCCCCAACCCTCATCACAACTCAACCCAGTGGGATCACAGTCCACACCCAAACACAGCCCCAAGAGCCCCTGCAGCAGTTCGGGTTCTGCTGCATAAGCCTGGTTCAGGCTGCACTGCCCATGCTACTACCAGTATGGTGGAGGCTGCCTGCTCAGTACACACCCCTCCTGGGACCCTGGAGACCCGCCAGGCCAGCCAATCCATTGCAGGAGTCACACAGGAAATACATCAAGAATTTTATCAATGGTAACTAAAAACCCTTGAGAGAATTTTAATTCAAATACTGTACCACAATACACAGAACAAAATTTATGGGATTTTGAAGATGTCAAGAATATTAAACATCTAAAAATAACTGAAGAGATTAACTATAAAGAAAATGATGTGAAAAGTTGAAAATCAAAATGAAACATAAAAAAGGAAAATCTGGAAAATTCAATAGCAAATAGTATATAAATTCACTCATTTGTTTAGTGAAACAGTCAGCAATACCCCACACTGGTTGAAGGCCTGTGACAGGCCAGGCACATGCCCAGTGTCACGGGCAGCGAGGGAGCAGTCGCCTCTCCTCACCTCTACATCAGAGATCTGCACGGTTCTCATGTCCAACTGCAGTATGGTGCAGGGCTCAGAGAGACAGTCTTCTGGCTTCAGAATGTGATTATGCTTGGGCTTTGAAAAAAACTCCTTGATTGCTAACGATCTGAGGGAAAAGGGCAAAGGAAGGGCTCAAGGTCATCACAGAGATCTTGCTTTGAAACACATGTGACAGAAGCAAGAGCTCACAAGCCAGCAGCAGCAGGAGACTCACTGAATCTGGTGCCTGGGCTCAGGGCAGGCCTAGGGACCTGCCCTAGAGGACCTGCTCCAAGGGACCTACCCTGCGAGACTTGCCTGGAGGAACAGCTACTGCCCCAGGGCCCATCTGAGCCTCCTCTGTCACCAAGGACTTCCTTTTCACATCCTATCCAGGGATCTGAGCACAAGAATGCCAGCCTTCACCACATAACCCACAGGGTTACTGTGCAGTATGCTTTCTTTAGTTTTTGAATCTATTTTCTCTTGAGTACCTTCTGTGGATCTCCTATGACACACCACATAAAGAAGCAACTCTGGCTGCCAGCTACCCCAAGGGATACATGGCAGGGCTGGTGCAGCCCACCCAAGCCTGCACCTGAGAGAGATGCTTGTGCTGAGATGGACAGTGGGTCCACCACACAGGTCTGATGCTCCTTGCTGCCTCTCATGTCTTCCTACTCGTGCTGGCCACAAACCCATCTGTTTACCACAGAAATGCTTTAAAATATAGCACAGCAGTAACTTCTGGAATAGTCTTGTCTTCATAAAGATTATATTATTTCTTATATTTTTAATGATAAAAATAATTATGAATTTTTTAGAAAACTGGAAAATATAGACAAGTATAAAGAAAAATCTTCAATTACTCATACTTCTACTTTATTTTTTGATATTCTATATTTAAGTTTTTCTCCCCATACATGTCAACATATATTTATTCATGCAAAAGAGAAGTCATTTTATATAAATGGTTTGTCCTGCCAATTTACTATCTCTTAAACAACTTCTGATAGCATCACATAAAATCACACCTTGGTACTCAACTGCTTTGAAACTGATCAAATTTGGTTCTCAACACACTTTGATGCAAAACTTTGTGCCAGTATTTATCATTTATTCGGTGCTTGATGCACAAGCTAGAACTTGGTGTTGACTGCTTCATGACTTGCCACTCTTTTCAGATAAAAAAAATAGGTGTTCATTTTTGGTACTTGTCACACCTACCGGACCAATTACAATTACAAAGGTACTATTACACTAATAAACACCCATGATTTACACAGCTCTAGGACAGCCGCTGTGCTGATGTTTTCCACTCACCCATGACACGGTGACCAAGCCAAGAGGGCAGCCCTGGGAGTGGCATGGGTCTAAGGCCCTAGGCCCTCACTCTGTAGCTCTGGAGATACAATGCCCATCTCTCCTGCAAGCGCTGCTGGGTGTGCAGGCAGTTGCTGCTGGGCAAACATACACTGTATTTTAATTTATTCTCTGCTCATCTGGTAGCCAAAAATAGTATTTAATTATTAAAAAATATTCTAGTTTTTCAAATATTTATCAGTAATTTTATTCATTTTTATGACCTGCCTATTCAAGGGATTTGATGCTATTAATCTTTTCCAAACAGAGTCTAAGATATGTCTGCAAGTGTTGCTCCTACTTATTATTTTGTAATTGTGGTTTTTTGCTGATTTCTGGCCCACAGATTCCATCAAATTTTATAAACTCTAGTGCAGTATGTAGGTCATTCTTTTCTGATGATTTCCTCTGTAGCTAAGATGTGGCAGAGTCCCCTGGATTCCTAGTCTGGATGTTGATGTCTTAATACAAAACTTAAATCCATGCAGAAATAAATCTTAAAGCCTGGTGTGAGAGAAGAAAAGAACCACACCGGCTCTGTCCTCGCCCTCTTGATTTATGAGCCACTTCTCATGCCCTAAATACTCTGCTCCATGGGCTAGGGATTTAGCTCAGTGGTTCCGCTGCCTGCCTCGAAAGCGGAAGGACCCGAGTTCAATCCCCAGTATCAAAAACAAAAAAACCATAAAATACTCTGCTCCATGCTTTCCACCCTGTCCTGCTGGTCTGTTTCTGGTTCTGACACAGCAGCGTATAATCACTCCAGCTCCCTCAGAGATTTAACACCTGGCAGCCCAAGTTCCCTCCCCATGTCTTCCCAGATGAACTCTCCAACTACCTTGTGAAGGACCTTCCCTCTATTACCTCTGGGGTTCTGATTGATTGAACAATGATTCTATAAATTAACTGGAGAATATTTCATACCTTTATATTGCCATTTTTCAATTTAAAAAAAGGTGGCCCAGAAGCCCCATCCTTTGCCCCAACTTCCTGCCTATAAATATCAGCAAGAGCCAGGCTGATCTGGTCCTCACCTAAGGAGCCAGAAGGTTCTTATACAGTCATACCTTGGCACTCTAGTACTCATCAATTTGGTATGTGACATATTTTGAAGCAAAATTTTGTCCAGGTATACTTTGTTGGCTTGGTATGCAACGTGCCTCCCAAAACCAACTGGCAAGTACCAAAGTACCACTGCACACTGACTTAGCAGGGTGGAGACATACTGACTTGGCAGCTGGGAACTACTTGGAAAGCAAAGATGTGATTTTTCTTTCCTTTTTAAATTGTTAACTACAGATCTAGAGATCTCCACAAGCTTGTGATTTCAAACTTCAGCTCAAGTGCACCTTAACATCTCTTAAGTATGCTGATAAAAAGTTCACAGAGTATTGGTGAAAGGTTGAAAAAAGCCTCGAGGTCTCAAAACAAACTAAATGGAGACAGCCACGTAAAGAGTAAACAGAGTGCTACTTCTCTCTGAAGCGGGTGAACAGCCTGTTTTATTCTTACAAGTACCGTAACATAAGGGTTACCTCAGGGATGGAGAAACAAAATCCTGGGCCCTTTTACCTGCTGTCCATTAAAAGCAGGATTTTTGTTTCCTCCTGAGACAGCCAGGGACTTAAAAGCCATTTTTGCTATAAACTATGACTCTTCACTTGGGCCTCTAGGTGCCCAATTGGTAACTAAAAGCAGAACAGACTTTCATTGTCATCCTTTGCTACTATAAATCTTGGGGCAAGTGTCTTCTCAGCTCTCCATACAGATATGTTTATCCCTCAGGGAGTGTCTGTCTAAAAGTTGACAAAACACAACCGATTACCCCTAAATTTACATATTCTCACCCCATTCAAGATTGAAGACACCAGGATGGAGGACTTACAGGGACATCCAACTATGCCCAGACGTCTCCAGCCCTGTCCAGTATCTGACACCTATGGCCATCAGAGAACAAAACCATCCCCCACCAATAAAGATTCCGGATCTAGAACACAAGGACTGAGAAACTGTGACACGAGGACTGAGCTAATGATCAACTGGACCCCAGCGCACCAGCCAATCCTTGAAAGCTGGCCTCCTGTCTTTCTGAGTGTGTCAGTCTGAACCTGTAGCAGCAACAGTACTTCCTGGTGAATGAGGCCATTCCCTAACTTCCACAGCACCCTCTCACCACACCTTCCCAGGAGAAGCCACAGTCAACAGGGCAAGGCTCAGGAGCCTTGTTGGAACCTGGACTCAACTCTATGAGTGTGTCCATATGTTAAAAACCAGAGAGGCAATGACTTCAGAGTATTGTTTTCTTTGCAAAACACTAGGAACCACCAACATATTTTCTTACACTCATTAAAGATTTATAGCTTTCAGCTAGGTGTGGTGGCATAAGCCTATAATCTCAATACTTTGGGACTGGAAGGCTGAAGCAGGAGGATCACAAGTTCTAGCCCAGCATGGGCAACTTAGTAACTTAGTGAGAACCGGCCTCAAAATAAAAAATTGAAAAGGCTGCTTACAAAGCTCAGTATGAGGACCCTGGGTTCAAACCCCAGTACCAGTGTGCGTATGTCAGGGGGTTTACAGCTCTCAGTGGGAACAAACACTTGTGTTTTAAAAACACACATTTTTGAAAGCCTAAATTTTTTTTTTTTTTTTTTTTTTTTTTGGTATCAGGGATTGAACTCGGGACCTTGCGCTTGCTTGCGAGGCAGGCAGTGGAACCACTGAGCTAAATCCCTGGGCTGAAAGCCTAGTTTTTAAACATAACTTTTTTCCCATTGTATTTGGGAACTTAATTTGCAGGGGGGTTTTGGGGGGGTTTTTTTTGGTTTTTTTCGGTACCGGGGATCAAAAAAAATTCAGGTTTCTACAGTTCTTTTTTTTTTTTTTCTTTTTCTTTTGGGAACTTAATTTGAAGACATCTTAATACCTACCTCTAAACACAGTGTGCAAAGTCAGGTGCACAGTGAGTTTCCAAGAGCGCTCAGTGGAGCCCAATTCTGATAGTGGGGCTTCCTCCTCAAGCTCTTACCACCACCACCACCACCCATAACCCCCTCAGTGGAAGGGACCTGCTCCACTCAGGAGCAGGAGCTTCGTGACCTCCCCCACCAATAGCTATCTCACAGATCCAGAATGGTATGGGCAGAGCCCAAGGCAGAAAAGGAAATAGCACAAAATCCCAGCAAGGTTCCCACAGTCACCTAGGATCACTGGGTGAGTAAAGGACAGTTTTCCTACAACAACAACTATGTTGCCCGGGGAATTACCAGGAGGACCTCTGAGAAAGCACAGGTATTTGCAGAAGCAGAGGCAGCATTCAGGAAGGTTCTCAGCCCACGGTGTAACTGTCTCAGTACTTCCCTCCCTGCCAGCAGCCCAACATGGCAGCTCCCTTGCCTCCAGGACTGGCCATGCAATGCACACCTACTTGAGTGCACTGAGGTTGAACTCGTAGGCATTGTCCCAGAAGAGCACCTTGCTGTGGTAGTCCTTGTCAGCACTTCAGGGCACCAGGTGCAGGGCAGCTGTGGTCGGCCAGATGACCCCATCCTCCTTCAGCCACGCATCCCGGGCATACAAGATGGACTCAATCATGAACTCAAACTGCATGGGAGGTGAGACACACAGGGACATGTCACCAGGGTTCACCAGCCAGGGTCACAAAATGACACTCCACCTGGGAGTTCCTGTCTGAGCCTCACTCTTAATATTAAGCCCTCCTGGTGAGAACAGGAGGGGCTGTTCTACATCCATGACAGATATGTGTCAAGGTATCCCCTCCTGCTGGACTGGGAACTAGAGGGCGGCTAATGGCCAGGACCCTGAGGGCTGAATGGGATCAGTTTGGTCCAACGCATTCTCAGAACCCTGAGACTGAAACCTTTCCCAAAGCCCTGAGAAGTCAGGCAAGGGAGCAGAGGTCCTTCTCGGGCACTAGGATGCACCCTACCTCTCACCCTCAGGAGAGTAGGTCACCTCTGTGACAGAGGACCCAGAGCCCCAAGGCCAAGCTTCCAGTCTGATCAGAATTCATTTCAAACTGGAAAAGAGAGCACCAAGGTGAGGCTGCAGCCAAAGGTCCTTCAACCCAGGAAACAACAGGACTCTACTTTTCTTAATTAATCAAAACAGATTTTAGCAGGGTGGCACATGCCTGTAATCCCCAGCACTTGGGTGTTCGAGGCCAACCTGGGCTAAATAGTGAGTTCAAGTCCAGCCTGCACTACAAAGTGAGTCCTGCCTCAAAAACAAAACAAAACAAAATAAAAAACAAAAAAAACCAAAAACTAAGCAGATTTTTATTATAGCATAGAATGTTCAGTATGGAAAATTTAGAAAACTCAGAAACGAACAAACAAAAATAAAAATCACAAGTAAACTCAGCACTCAGAAGGAATCACTGTTGTCATCCTGCAATTTATCTCCAAGTATTTTTCAATTTCAAATCTACACACAAATAAAATATATATCTATATATGTAACTTAAAAATTTTTGTTACCATACAGCAAAGCTGACCTTCCTTATTATATAGCCTGTATCAAGTTTGGCACTTGTGCACATCTATGTGCCCACAATCACAGTCAGGATACACAACACACTACCCAAAACATTCTCTGATGGCCAGTCCCTCCCCACCCCAGGCTCTGGAAGCCTCTGATCAGGTCTCTACCTGGCAGTGCTGTCTTTTGGAGAATATCAGGTGAATGAAGTCATATGGTAAGGAGGCTCTGAGACAGAAGGCCCCTGGGTTTGTCCACAGGACCGCGTGCTTTGAGTATTCTCTCCATAGTGTGCACGTGTCAGTTTATCCACTGACCTGCTGAAGGACCCCTGGGCTGTTTCCAGCTTTTTAGCAATTACAGTCATTCCATACATGTTTCCATGTGAACACAGCTTGCACTTCTCCAGGGTAAACACCCAGGAAGGGACTCTGGGTCACAAAGCGAGTGCCACACAACACCGGAGGAGCCCAAACCTCCCTAGAGTGGTAATTCCCAAAGCCATTCACAAGGGTTAGCTGCTCCATATCCTCGCTAGCACTTGATGCAACTGTTATTTTTCTCATTTTGGCCATCCCTCGACAGTTGTGTTTTCTCTGTATTCACAGGGTGCACTTCCCTTAAAACTCTCTTCATATGCTTGTCTGCCACCATGTGTCCACTCTGGTGAGGCTGTTCAACCAGTCTTCTAACCATTGTTCCTTTGGGTTGATTTCTTCCTGTTGAGTTTTGAGAGTTCTCTGTATATTCAGGGTACACATTGGATGTGTGATTTGCAATATTTCCTCTTAATTTTAGCCTGCCTTTTTATTCTCTTAACACAATCTTCTGTAGAGCAAATATTTTAATTTTCATGAAATCATTTTATTATCTAAAACATGTGGATCATGCTTCACAGCCTGTCTTTATTGCTTTTCTCCTTCCTGAGACAAAATATCTGACACCCAAAGTTAAAGAAGGAAAGGTTTATTTTAGCTTACAATGTGTGGAGGTCTCAGTCCCTAATTGGCTAGCTCCAAGACAGGATGGCATGGCAGGGCAGCATGGCACAGAAGAAGCAGTCCATGGCAGGCAGGCAGGAAGCAGGAAGCAACAAAGCAGAAGCAGTGAGGCTCTCTTTTGCTTTTATTCATTCAGGCTACAAACCTATAGGTTGATACCACCCATACCCAGGGAAGATGTTCCCATTAGCCCCATTCAGAACTATTTATTCTAAACCAGTCAGTGGACTACTTTAGTTACCACACACTCTTAATTCATATTTACACACCGTAGATCCAGCCACTTCCAAAAAGCCCCACCGTGAGCACATGAGGCTTTGGGGGGACATCTAGATACAAGCCATAACAGAGCCATACCTAAAACTCTGCCTAGCTCCAGGTCACAATGATTTTTTTCTCTTATAATTTCTTCTGCAAGTTTCAGTTTTATATTTTACACACTTAGGCCTATGATCAATTTTAAGTTTAGTATGAGATGTGAGGTTTAGGTCATGGTTCCTTTTGGTTCTGGATATGGTTGCCAACTATTCAATATCCTTTGTTGAAAACACTTTCTCCTTTGTACCTTTGTTAAAAATCAACTGACCAAATTTGTAGAAATCTATTTCCTTATTCTGTTCCACTGACTTGTGCCCAGCCCTTCATCAATGCCACATTGTTCTTAGTAGCTTTAAAATCAAGTAGCATAATTCTTCCAACTTTATTTTTTCTTTAATTATATTGCTGTTCTAGTTCCTTTACATCTCACACAAAGTTCAGAATGAGGGCCGAGGATTTAGCTCATTGGTGCCACACCTGCCTTGCAGGCAGCAAAGTCCTGAGTTCAATCCCCAGTACCAGGAAAAATTAAAAAATAAAGTTCAAAATGAGCTTGCTTCTAACTACCAAAAAAAATCCTGCTTAAATTTTGACTAGAACTGAACTAAGTCAGTCACCCTAAAATGGATGCCTACCAGATTCAGCCTTTCAGGCCCAGCACACTGTGTCTCTCCATTCCTGAGGTCTCTCAACTTCTGCATCAATACCTTGTAATTCTCACACACAGTTCTTGGACATATTTTATCTGATTCCCAGTATTGTATTTCATATTTCTAGAGCCACTGTAAATGGTACTGCTTCTTTAATTTCTGCTTCCAACTGTCAATTTTTAGGATATGAAGACACATTGTATGATGTAATCTTGCTAATTAGTTGTACGAAATATTTTTGTACTTTTTTAGAATTTTATAAAGATAATCATATTATCTGGGAATAAAGATGGTTTGTTTACAATCTGTTTTTATGTTTTGCATAAGTTAGGAGTTCGTATACTATGATGAATGAGAATGGTCCAAGTGGTCACCAGTGTCTTGTCCCTGCTTTTTTGGGAAGAAGTACCGACTGCTGTCTCACTATGTATGAAGTCAGCTGTAGTTTTGTACATGCCCTTTATGAGGCTGAGACAGTTCCCTTCCATTCCTACTTTACTGGATTGCACTGATGTTGAAGTCTGTCAATTTTTTTTCTGTATTAACTGATATAACTGTGTGATTTTTCTTCTATGGCCTGTAAATATGGTAGTTTACATTGATTGGTTGGGGGGGGGGGTTGGTACTGGGGATTGAACTCAGGTCCTTGCACTTGTGCAGTAGGCAGTGAAACCACTGAGCTAAATCCCCGGCCCACATTGATTGGTTTTCAAAATACTGAACCAGCTGTGCATTCCAAGGATAATCTCTTGTGTAATCTATTATTATTCCTTTTACATATTGTTATTTTACCTTTGCAAATATTTTCTTGAGGATTTTTACATTTACATTCATGAGTTATTGGTCTGTAGTTTTCATATTTTTGTAATATCTCTGCTTTTGGTATTAGGGCAATGCTTAACTCATAAAAACAAGCTGAGACATACATCCTCCTCTTCTAGTGTCTAAAATAATTCAGAATTGGTGTTATTTTTTCTTTAAATGTATTGGTAAAATTCACCAGTAATAGCCTAGAACAGTGATGGTGAACCTTCTAGAGCTTTCAATGATACAAACAGCTCACTATGGCACATGAGCCATAGGTTCACAACTAGACAAGTTTCTCTTTCAGAAGGTTTTTAACTATGAGTTCAATACCCTCCTTAGTTACTGGACCATCCAAGTTATCTATTTCAGCTGAGTGAAGAGTGGTAGTTTGCAGTTTTCAAAGTAATCCATGTGCTTCATGCACATTGTTTAATTTATGTACACAGAGGCCCAAGGGAGGGGAGTGACCAACCCAGGACCAGCTCAGCAGTGCTTAATTCTTGCCTTTTTCCCTAGTCTGCTGCTACTACAAAACCATTCTGAGGCTGGCAATTTAGCTCAGTGGTGCCAATGCCTGCCCTGAAAGCACAAGGTCCTGAGTTCAATCCCCAGTACAAAAAAAAAAAAAATGTTAAACATCAAAACCCTTCTGGCTAGGACTCACAGCTGAATCAGGGAAAGACACTGGGAGTGAACCCACTTCATCCTACCTGGAAGTGAATCCAGGTCACTGCTACACATAATTTAATGAAAGGTGGAAGGGTTGAAGGGAGGGCAGGGTGATGGGGAAAAAATAAGAACTAAGATATATCATATAAAGGTACAAATTCCCAATGATGAATGTCATCACACTGTACACCTAAAATGTACCAGTAAACTTAATGAAAAAAAATTTAATGAAACAAAACTGGAATCATGCTGCACATACTCTTTGTACTTTAAAACCACTAATATGTCCTCAAATCTTAGCTCAGATTATTAAAAATCTTTCTAAAACATAATTCTAATGACCATATGGATTGTCATAATTGTTTCTATTGTTTCCAGTTTTCTTCTATTTGAATAAAATGGTGTTGTCATGAACTTTTTTGAATCTAAAGTTCTGTACTTATCTGTTTCCCTAGGACAATTCCATTTTAAAATTTTTAATGCTTTTTGGTGCTCCCTTTGGCAGCACATATACTAAAAAGTTTTAATGCTTTTTGACACACTTTGCCCTATTTTACCTCAAAAAGCTGCATCAATCTACACTTCCAAAAAGCATGCACAATATTGCAATCTCCCCACAACCTCAACAATACTGGGGATTGTCAGATGTTAGATGACTGCCCAGACAACTTCCCAGGACAGAAATATTTAAGTTATTCTCTCATGACATTCACTGAACAAGGCTCACACTGCCTTCTGTATTTCTCTGGGGTGTTGCCTTTCCCACTCCTCTCCCACCTCCCATGGGGCACTCACCTCCTGCTTTTCTTTCTTTCTTTTTTTTTTTTTTTTGGTACCAGGGATCGAACTCAGGTCCTTGCGCTTGGCACAGCAGGCGGCAAAACCACTGAGCTAAATCCCTGGCCCTCCTCCTGCTTTTCTTCATGCCTTCTTGGAGCTCCTTGTGTCACACAAGCTGCAATTCTTATATAATAGTTTCACTCACCTTACGATAATTTATTAATATATAAATGGTAATATTTCATCAAATATTTTGTTTAGTGTTTTGTTCTTTAAACAACTTTTGTCACTCTAACATCAGAAAACTTTTAGTAGTTTTATATTTCCCCCTCTTAAACACACAACTCTTTACCCATCTGAAGTTTAATCAGTATGTAGTGTGAAGAAGGATCTGTTTTTTCCCAATTAATCACCTGTTTCACCTCCATCTCTGGCTGACTACATCCTTGTCTCCCCAAGTGGGAGTGTGAATGACAAGGAAGCATACGAGGTATATCAGAAAATAAAGTGACATTAACTTCAACTTAAGTTGCCTATACAGGTACTTTTTTTAATGTTAAAAATCCAAGACACTGACCTAGTGTTCATACAAGAAATTAATTATGCCTCACCTTAGGAAAAAAATAAAAGCTAATCATGATTTCTGAAGATCCCTAAGGCAGGCCAGGGTGTCTAGGTCCAGAAGCTCCAAAACCCCACTGTCCCTAGCCAATACAAGCCAGCCCTTACCAGTAGGCAGGTCCCCATCCACTGGGACACCAGCACGTCTACTTTCTCAGGCAGCACAACATCCTCCACCTTCTGCTGGAACACAGTGATGGTGTCGGCAAAGCCATTCTGCAGGACCAGCTGGCCCGTGTGCTGTGCCATCTCACTGGCCTCCACAGCATATACTTGCAGCAGCAATGTGCTCATCAGTGCACGTCCTGACCCTGTACAGTGGCCTGTGTCCTCTACTCTCCTCTTGGATCAGAGTCAGCACAGAAAGAGGCATGGTATTGGACAGCAGTAGGTGGTGCAGATCAATGCCCACAGCTCACCCCCTCAGGTGGCACCCAGGAAAGGTGCAGCTGCTAACTCTGCTACCCACCCACCCTGCAGATGAACAGAATTACCATACACCCGGCTGCTCCTGCACTCAGCAAATCTGACCACTATCCAGAGAGCAGCCAATGGCATGAGAGCATGGTGGCCTGAGGGGCAATCAAATCCAGGCTCATACAAGGGGTATCTGGGAGGGCTCTGGGGCTGGTCCTGCTGGCAAAGTCTGGGCAGTTTCCACCATTAAGTCAGCATCTCAGCCACCGTGTCAGGCTCTGTGGGGACGTGCCATGAAGGGAGGGCAGGGAGCCACAACACTGACTCCATGAGATACCTTTCAATATTTAACTGCAGTAAGAGCTCACAAAACAGTCCCACAGCACAACTTACTCAGCCACTTCCAACCCGCCCTAGGCCACTCCTAGCTGTCTGTGGCTGCACATCCATCACAGCTCCCCATCTGCCTGACATGAGCCTAACTCATGAGGACACACCAGTACCACTGAGTCATCCTAGAGCTAACCTGTCAACAGCACCTATCAGACCCAGTCACCACCTGGGGCGCCACCTTGTACCCAACTCATCGCCTTGGGCAGTGCATAGTGTGCACAGAATAGGCTGATGATGCCAGTGCCACAGCCAACATCCAGGATGACCTTGCCCTTCAGGGACTCCTTGTTCTGCAGGATAACACTGTGGTACTTTGTTGTCCGTGGCTGGTCTGCCAACATTTCCAAGTGAAGTTTCTAGAGGAAACACACTGAGCATCACTGTGAGGCCACAGTGGGCAGTGAAGGGATGAAACAAACTTCTGGAACCCTCTCAGTGCAATCCAGGGCCACCTACAGATTCTCCCTTCCTCTCCTCAGGAGCCAAGTGATCAGGGAACAATGAGGCCCCCTCCCAATGGAGGAGTAGACATCTTCCCCATACTCAGTGGAATGCTGTATCTTCACCAAGTTATCTATCAAAAGAGAACACTGAACATGTCACAGGAGAGCTGCCAGGGAGGCCCAATAAGCTCCTGTTCACATATAAATTTATCCCTTGATTGCCTGTGGCAGGTGGAAATTATAACACCCCTGGCTGGCCCACACTGCATAGTGAGAGAGGAAAGCACCTGAGCCCAGGGAAGGCAGAGAATGGCCTCCTCAAGGTACTGGCAGAGCCCCTGGCTGTTGCAAGGACACATGACACCCCAGCACCCTCAGGGGCAAGACCCAGCATAGAAGAAGCACCACTAGAGGCAGACAAGTAGCTAGGCAGGAGTAGAGCCCAGAAGGGCTCCCCAGACCTCACCAGCACACACAGGAGTCTGGATGAGGACCCTTGCAGCTCCTCACAAAGACACCAGGGCAGAATGAAAACAAAGGGGCAGGGGGCAGGAAGCTGATGGAAAGGAAAGTCAAACCCACTCATCTGCCTACAAGCATCCACTTTAAACATAAACACAGACACAGACTGGGTAAAACAAAGGACAGGAAGGCATGGCACACTCACACCATGGGAGGAGAATTGGAGCAGCTGTACTGACTTCAAGCCAAAGATATTTCAGGGCAGAGAATGTCCCAAGGTCACAACAACACAGGAATTTATTCATCAAAAGGATACCATAATTCTAAATATTTCTGTGCCTAATAACAGCTCATAAAAATATAAGCAGCAAAAACTAACAGAAATGCAAGAAACAGAATCAGTTACAAGTAGAGTCTGATGCCCTCCTCAGTAACTGACTGAAGCGGACAGGGCTCGTCAACAAATGCTTACAACAGTAGTTACTAGCCCAAAATGTCTAGGGATATATTTAACAGAAAAGGTAGACCACTGTGTACAATAAAAACCTTAAAACTCTGAGACATGAAACAAGGCCTGAGCAAAGACAGGAAGTGGACACCACAGAGATTCACTCCTTCCAAAGCTACACACAATCTATGCAACACCAACTAAAGCTCCAGCCAACCTGTCATGGGGGCACAAAATGATGCCTTTCAAAACAATAAATGCTAAGGCTACCAGGAATATGCTGAAAATAGAATGGCTGTCCAGCTAGCTCTTAGACTTACAAACTACAGTGATGAAAAAAACAGCAAAAAAATAAGTGAATCACCACAATAGGCCAGAGATGCCAGAGGGGATGCTTGAAATGTATGATAAATGTGGCATCTGCCCAATTACCAGGGCTGGATTAGCAGGTATTTGTGGGAGGAATCTAATGCATAATAACGTCTCTTCTTTATCACAAATAAATCCCAGAATGCTTTAAGTATTTCACTGTTTAGAATTATAACAGTTGTGCCAGAAAGGGTCCATAAGCCTGTTACTGAAAGAAATCCATAAGCAGCAGCTGTCTTTGTGCCAGGAGTGCAGGCCAAGGGGCTGGCTTCGGCTTTCACTGTTAATAGACCGAAAGCTCTAACCATTTATATACAGTAGTAAATGGCTTTCAATTGTAATTTTTGACTTGGAAATACAACATATGTACGAAAAGTGAATTAGAAGTATTGGTACAGATGATCAAATAGTTTACATAGCAAACCCTGGGTGTTTCCATAGCAAACCCATGGGACACTTGCACATCCCATCTTCCCACACAGCCTGTAGTCATGGACTCTCCCTGTGATAAGAACTGCCACCTGATTTATGGCACAGACCCCTGCTCCCAGTGTCACCACTTTGCTACACTCACACCTTTATGTAACTGAATCACAAATCACATGTGCCTGCTTCCTTCCTCCACTCAGCAGCTTCTGTAACATTTACCCCACAGGTAGCTGTTTATGTCTAAACTGGTTGTAGCCTGAACCATAGGTCATGGGCCTTTCTCCATAGGAAGAAAGCAAAAAGATTAATAAACTAGTGGGCCAGAGTTTTAGCTCGGTGGTGTCACAACTGCCTTGTAAGCACAAGGTCCTGAGTTCGCTCCCCAGTACCAAAAGACAAAAAATAAAAAAATAGATTAATAAGCTGGCTATTTCTAGGTTATCATTGTTCACTGATTTATATAACTTTTTCTACTTCAATTTTTAAAGTAAAATGTATTATTTCTTTTAAACTCTGAGAAAAGTTCATAATCCCTTACTAAAATAATTTCTCTAAACCAGGTCAGCAAACAGCAGGTCTTGGGTCAAGTCCAGTCCCATCTGCTTTCATATGGCCTCCAAACTAAGAAGACTGTTGCATTTGAGTGGTTATTAATAATAAAAAAAAAGACTTTCTGACATATAAAAGTCATGAAATTCAGCTATCAGTGTCACTGAATGCTTTATTGGAGCACAAGCATGCTCGGGTCACACGTGCATAGCTGCCTTCACATCACCATGGCAGAGCCCAGCAGCTCTAACAGAGACACTATGGTCAGCTGAGCCAACCAGGAAATTTGTCACCCATTCCAAACAACCAGAAGATCCAGACCAGAAATTATTTTTGAAAACCTAGACCCTAAAACTAAAGAACCTGCCGCCGGCCCACTGAGCTGGGAATCTGCAAGGCCGTACCAGAGTCCCGTAGCTCCCGAAGTACTCCTCATCCTGCCATGTGTCCTCGGGGTCACGCTCCTCCGCCTGCCTCCCCACGTGGTTCACTGGAATATACCCACAGCAGCCTGCCCGCTCACCCCACCACCAGTCGGCTGTGGTTTGCCTCAGGATAAGAATTTTTTCTCCCCTCAAAAAACTGAGCTGCAAAACAATCAGAAGTAGAAAGACATTCAGTTACTTCATCTCAGTGGTGACTGGGAGATAAACTCCTGTCAGCAGTGACACAGTCGGGGATTTCAAACAGTGTCCACAGGTAATGCCAGCACCTAACAAGCTATGAAAGTCACAGCAGCATCTGAAAGATTTTGTGGAGCCTCTACCTAAAGGAACGACACAGCTTCATTCATACAATTTAAAAGAAAGAGCAAGCTGGGCATAATGGCACACACCTGTGACCCCAGCACTCTGGGTGGCTGAGGCAGGAGGACCACAAGTTTGAGCACAGTCTGGGCAACTTATCAAGATGCTGTCTCAAAATAAAAGGTCAAAAAAGTACTGGGATGCAGCTCAGTAGGAAAGCCATTGGGTCAAACATCAGTATGAGAGGGAAGAGAAAAAGACTGGGGAATGCAGGCAGGCAGCCAGGAAGGGCAAACATTTTCAAATGGTTTGGGGCAGAACTTTTCAACAGCCCTTCATCATACAGTTATGCTGTAGCAGACTCAAGTCACAGGAGGCTCACTGTTACAGAGCACAGAAAGCAATGTCCAAGCAGACGCTTTGGAAAGCCTCTAATGGTGGGTTCTACAGTGTGATTTCCAAGCAGCACTGGAGCTGGTGCTTCTCCCTGTATGGGGCCAAGGGCCCCACTCCTCATCCAGGTATGCTTGCATCCTACTGAGCCAAAATCTATGAAGCTGGGAGGTAAATGATATGCACAGATCTACGTGGCTCTAAATGTCCCATATTTCTTTAACTCAGTATGACCCTGCAAAATTCACATCTAATTTTACCAATAAATATGATGAAATTCATATATCACAAATGCTGTGTAGCTACCTGGGTCTCATCAGTGGCAGCATAGTCCGCAATGGCTACAAACTCCTCTGGCTGTGGCTGCACACTCTCCTGTAGGAGCTGGGCCTCGCCGAACCCCATGGGCTCCTCTTCCTGCTCCTGCCACAGAGACACAAGGACGGCACCATGGAGTTCCTTCTTTTCCAAACAGGTGACCAAGATGGGCTCAAACAAAGATTCCTATAACTAAGGATTTATTATGCAAATCCCTTGGGTCATCTTTACTAGTATAAATGAAGGCTGTCACCTTCACTCCACCTTACTTTAATCTCTGATATAAGATGATTTGCAACCTAAACAGAATGTCAACGGGAGCAGCAAGAAAAGGGGTCTATGCTTCACAGTCAATGCTTCCTGAAAGTGGAAACTGGTATACAAGAAAAAAACTGCATAGGTTTGGGTTCCAGGGACCTCTGTTCTCTTCTCTAGGACAGAGCTGGTGGGCAGAACCAAAGGTCTACGAGAGGTGTTGTGACCTGTCATATACCTATTATAAATATCTGTGGAGCCCAGGCAGCCCCTGGGACCCATGCTGCTGAGACCTGGAGGAACCCTGCCCTCTGCCACCTTCCGTCAGGATCCACAGTCCTGGAAGACAGCCCTGGACGTAGCACAGCCCCAAACTACATATCCCTGCTCAACAGACCAACATGTCCCAATTGACACATCTTTAACAAGCATTCTTAAACATAAAAGTAATTTCTGCTCACTTTAGGAAATGTGTGAGAACACAAAAGAGCACAGAAGAAAACAAAAACATACTGTAACTTCATCCTGGGATCGGAGATAACAGTTAACAAACTGGTTATTTATCCTTAACTCATGCACAGAGCACTTGTTGGGATCACACATTCTTGCCTTATGATGTTTCTCACTTCCTGATGCTGAATATTTCCCTCATATTCAATATGCTTCTAAACATGTATTATATATATATACATATATATATATATAATACACACACACACACAGAGACAGTGGTACCTCAGTTCACAAACTTCTTTCCATGACTCTGGTTGCAAACCAAGTTGGACGTGAACCACATCAAATTCAATGGTTAGGTTCAATACTGACCTTATGGAGAAATTTGATTCAGTTCTCATCTAATTTGGTTTGCGACCAGAATTGTGGAGAAAATTGAGTTTGTGAATTGAGGTACCATTTGTACTGGGACTAAACTCAAGGCTTTCACACTGAGCTACATTGCCAGCCCTTTTTTAATTTTTATTTTGTGACAGGGCCTTGCTAAATTGCCTAGGCTGGGCTAGAATTTTAAATTCTCCTGCATGATCTTCCCAGAACAATGGGATTTTGGGCATGCACCACCACACCCAGCTCCGATCAATTTATTTTTGATACTGATGTAGTAGTCTGTGAACTACCATAACTTATATAATCTAGTTTTGTACATTTAGACTTTTAGTTTTTTCTATAGTTACGCTAAGATCAACTTTCTTAAACAAAAATCATACTGCCTACCCCTGACAATGTTCTTAGAATAAATTCCTGAATGTGAAAATGATGGATCAAGACTCTTCAGGCCTTCATGACTTTTGATTCTACCACCAAATGCCTCCAGAAAGGCAGAGTTCCTCACTTGCTTGGGGGGAGTGGGATTTGGCCACATGAGTGGCAACTACAAGCTTCCCTGTACCCTCACCAACAATAGATATCGATCACCTTCACCTTCACCAATTCCCCGGGTAAAACTTACCTTTGTGTTACTTCCACTTGCCTTTCTTCGATTATTAGTGTGGTCAAGCAGGATTTCTTAAAAGTTCTGATTGGCCATATTTGTATTTTGCTAATAGCCTACTGCATCCTTTGCATTCTCCCTGTTGTGGTTCACCACTCCCCTCCCACTTTCCTCACACACCTGCTCTGTGCTCAACACAGACACCTGCATTCACACTCACATGCACACAATGGGTTTTTATTCCTTTTTGTATAGCTTTTTTTATGAAGAACATCTCAGACCTTTTTTATATTTTTGCTTTTCTTACACAATACCTCTGAGGAAAACTTTGGTATTTTCAATGACTATAGAATATTTAATTCTAGTTGATCTGTCAACCATCCTCTAGTGATTTTCATTTGGTATCATTTCCTATCACTAAAATCCACGCTAAAACAATTAAAAATCTGCATATGTATCCATATGGAAAGACATTTTTTTCCTATAGGAGACTGGGTGGCCATAAAGATAAACAGTTATTCAGACATGTCAGAACCTTCACATAAAGGGTGTACCACTCCCCACTTCACCAGCAGAACACAGTACTTTCTGCTGAACACCCAGCAGCAACAGGTATCATCACTGCCTCCAATATTTGGCAGTGACAGGTATATTGTTGATTTCAATTATTCGGTCACATTGTTTTCATGGTTTTTGGTTGCTTGAATCTGCTCTTCGGTAAACAGCCTATTTAGTTTGCCCACTGTTTTATTTGGCTATTTGCCTTCTGCTTATCAGATTGAAAGAATTTTTTGCATATCTTATTTGCAATCTTGAGCAAATGTTTCTCCATTTATATTGCTATTGTAGTTTTTTTTCAATAATAAGTCAAAGTCAATAGGAATAGGGATAATAAGTCAAAGTCAATAGGAAGCACACAAAAAAAGATGAAAAACGCGAGACAGAGGACAAGACATGTGAAACTAACAAAAATTCTAACTTATATGCAAGCAGACTCCCTTCAAAAAAAGAAGATAAGGCAGGAAAAATAACTGAACAGTAATGGTAGAAATTTTTTCTAAAATTAAAAATCATCACCTCAGATTCAGGAAGCTTGACTAACCCCAAGCAGGATAAATACAAAGAAAATTGCTGAAAACCCAAAAAAGAGAAAATCCTGAATGTAGCCAGTGGGAGGAAAAAAAGAGTTCACTGCAATTAACAGAACAACAAGATAGTGGTGACTTCTCATAGGAAACAATGGAGCCAGGAGATGATGAACTGACACATTCTAAGTGTTGGAAGGAAAAAAACCCCTCAAACCTAAAATTCCATATCACAGTAAAATATACTTCAAAACCAAAATAAAAAACATTTTCACTCATACCAAGGCTGACATAACCTGATCAACAAGCCCACATGACTAACTGCAAAAATAGGCTGTTCAGGTTGAAAGGACATGAGCCTACAGAAAACTAAGAATGCAGGAAAACCAGAAAGGCCACCATGTAGGTAAGTACATAGAAATATAAGAGACTTAATTTTAAAAATGGCTTTTGATTGTATAAAGCAACAATAATAACCTATTCTGGAACCTATAACATGTAGAATTAAAATAACGTTATAACAGGGCAAAAATTATGGGTGCTGGAAAATGGAACTTGTAAGATTTTTACATTGTTGTAAAGTGGGAAAGAACATGAAAAAAATATGTATACTGCAAATTCTTGGGAAGACACTAAAATAATATATAAAAAAGTACAACTAATAAGCCAATAAAGGAGATAATATGTAATTATAGAAAATACTTTATTAATCCAAAAGAGGGCAGGAATAGAGAAACATACAAAGCAGAACTATGACAAACAGAAAAGAACAAGATGTTAAGCTAAATCCTATGAGTCATTACACTAAATGTTAATGGACTAAAATACTCCAGTTGAAGTGTAGAAATCATTTCACAGAAAGGAAAAAGACCCAAGAGCTAGACCAACGTAGCTTTTTACAAGAGAAATGCTTTCAGTACAAAGACCTACAATAAGTTGAAGAAGTATGTATATAATTATACACACCATGCAAGCACCAACCATAAGAAAGCTGGTACAGCTAAGTCAACATTTGAAAAAGCATATGCAAGGCAAAGAGTATTCATAAAGAAGAGACATACTTTATAAAAATTAAAATCAATTACTCTAGGAAATAAAATCCTAAATATATGAACCTAGTAACAGGGACTCAAAATATATGAAACAAAGAGTGACAAAACCAAAAAGAAAACCAGACAAATCCACAGCTACAGCGGACAATTTTTGAAAAATCTCCCAATAATTGATAGAACAAGTGGACAAAAATATCAGAAAAAACACAGAGATTAATTTTTTTTTTTTGGTACCAGGGATCAAACTCATGACCTTGCACTTGCAAGGCAGGCTTGGTGCAACTGAGCTAAACCCCCAGCCAGAGATTAATTTATTTTTTGAGATTGATTCTTGCTCAAACTCCTGGACACAGGCAATCCTCACACCACAGTAGCTAGAACCTACAGGTGTGTAAAATTGCACTCAGTTAATATAGAGAGAGCTGAACATTAACAATCCATATAATCTTAATGACATTCACAGAACACTACATCCAACAACTGCAGGAGATAGTCTTTGAAGTGCACATAAAATATCACCAGAATAGCCCAAGGTCATAAAGCATGTCCAGAATAAATTTCAAAGGCCTAAAGTTATAAAGTGTGTCATATTCTCTCACCAAATATAATCAAACCAAAATTAAATAACAAAATGATAAGTAAATTTTCCCAGATGTTTGGAAATGAAAATACTTCTAAATAGTCCAGAAAATTTCTATTTTGATACTGTATATTAAAAAACATCTTAACAGAACAATAATAAAAAAATGTAATGAGGGCCAGGGATTTAGCTCAGTGGTTCTGCTGCCTGCCTCGCAAGCGCAAAGACCCAAGTTTGATCTCTGGTACCAAAAAAAAAAAAAAAAGTAATGAATTGACTGTGTGAAGTAAAATAAAGCAGTGATCAAAGAAAATGTTGTATCTTTAAAGACATAAATTAGAGAAGAAAGGTTTAAAAATCAGTGATGCAGGCTTCAATCCCAAAATGTTACAAAAAGAAAATTAAACCAAAAAAGAGTAGAAAGAAAAGAAAAAGCAGAAATCAATAAAAGAGAAAACAGAGTAAAGAAATTCAACAGACAATACTGGTTCTTTGAAAAGATAAAATAAAACCCTAAATAGACTAATGGCTAAAAAAAATGCTAAAACAAAAGTAACCAATATCATCACACTTTTGTTCTATAGTGGAGCGTGTATTAGCAGCATTACTCGGCCAAGGATTTAGCTCAGTGGTTCCGGCGCCTGCCTCAAAAGCGCAAGGTCCTGAGTTCGATCTCCTGTACCAAAAAAAACCTAAAACAGCATTACTGAAACACTACCAAGATTCACAAGGAATCAGGAAAATTAAAAAATAGCATTTCTAAACCCTCCAAGTGACCAAAATTAAAGAGTCTGATGCTGTCAAGTGTTAGCACTACCGTGAGCTCCTGGAGACCTGTGAACGAGTGTGGCGAACTGGAGGAACAACTGATCTTTCCCCAGTGAAAATGAGTGTGTGCAATTCCTTCCACTGGCAATGCCATCACTGGAGCACAATGGACAAAGGCAGGTGCTACATAGTGCTGTGAGATGGGAAACCTGGAAATACATTAAGTGTCCAGCAAAAAGGGAACAGACAAAATGGGTACAAACCTACTGTGCAAGGGGAAGAACACAACAGGCCTGCACACACACTTATGGAAGCACAGTGTTCACACAAAGCACATGCCTACATACCTGTGAATGCAGTGTGCTCATACAAGGAACACTGACAGGATCTCAAAAGTTGTGAGGCTGAAGTAACATGACACACAACCAACAAGGACAAATCCCCCAGAAGTAAAGTTACACGAGAAGGGCAACCACAGACGACAGTGAGTGTGACATTACTCACCCAAACTTTAAAGAGCACACACAAAACAATATTATAAATCATTCAAGGTGGCATTAAAGCATAAAAACCAGTGCAGAAGCACACACATCAACTTCCTAATTCACAGGAGTATTTGCCTCTGGAGAAAGAGGAAGAAGCCTGTATTTAGGGAACAAACTTCCATCCACAGTATCATTATTTCATATGTGTATGTTCTAAGGCAAGTATAACAAAATGTTAACAACACTACACAATGTGTACTCCACTCCTTGTTTGCAATATTATTCTGTAAATATTCAAATATATAAATTTCCCAAAAGAAAAACAGGACATCCATGGAATTAAAACATTTTATGACTAATTCTAAAAACTAATGAAAGAAGCCAAATATAAACAAAATTCTTATATATAAAAACCCAAAGGAGGTAAAACAATCATTAAAATAAAGGAAAGAAAATACTAAAATTGACATCACAGACATGAAAATGATTTTTAAAACACTGTTTATTGCAGTATTCATTTAATTGCACATAATCAACATTCTTTAAAATTTAAGGTGATTTTACTGCTAACTTGAATGAAACTCTACATGTAGTGCAGGCAGAAAAATAACACGAAAATTGCTCTCCTCTGATGCCAGGCCTACCTTCAGCACCGCCAGTTCCTTGCCTGCAACTTCACTGAACACTTGAGAACTAGCTGAGGCCTTAAATGTGCAGCCCTGGATAATTGTATGTTGAAGGCATGATAAGCATTTCCTTGTAAGTACTTACGTCACTTCAGAATGTTGAAGACTCACATCCACTCTATTTCCTCCTTTATATTTAAGCATTGTACTGTTGGCAGCCACCTTCCCAGAGAAAAGAAACATTTCTCCACCATACCTGTGAGTCAATGCATAGCACTTTGTACTGTTCAAGTTCATGAAGCAAGATATATCAGGTGCAGGTACAAATTCCCTATGATGAATGTTATCATTATATTTATCTAAAATGTACCAATAAATGTTTTCCTTCAAAAAAAAAATTACGAAGCACAGGCTCTTACATACCAGAACCACAGTTACCTATAATTCACTTTGGGGGCAGTCAGCTGGTGTCACCATAGTTCACTTAAGCACTGCCTCATATCTGATGCTTTTATTATTTCATTTTCCCGTCCATATCTACTTTAAAAGAGAAAAACACAAAGTACACGTTACACTGCTTGATAACTAAATTCACTTCACCACTAAATCCCTTGATAAAGGTCCTCTATCAAAAAAGTATGTGTGCCAGGCCAGGGATTTGGCTTAGGGGCACCGCACCTGCATCACAAACACAAGGTCCTGAGTTTGATCGCAGGTACGGGGGTGGGGGGTGTATGTGTGTCAATAGTATAGAAATGTAATTTATCATCACAAATCTTCGGAGACAATTAAAAGCATTTAAAATTATATGAACTTCAATTTGTGCTCTCTCTACTTCCCACACGGTGTTAATCTTATTCCACAGGTTGTTAGTTTGTTACATCACCATGCTGATTTGCGGCAATAGCTCCAAGCCCATTCTCTCCCTGGGACTCTGACAGCTTTGACTCCATTTAAAGTCCCCTGTCTGGCCTTCCCTGTGTTCTCACCTGCAAAACGGAGGCCAGCTCACCCAGACCCTTTCTCTCTCCTCAACCTCTAGGATGTGTGTATTTTCAATTACAAGCAATTCTTTGTTTAAAATTGTGCTTTCCATCTAAATCAAGGCTGATACTAGTTTATGTACATTTTCAAGGGAAAGCCTGAGCCAGGGATGGCTGAGGCGACTGGAGCAGACAGGACTCTCCAAGTGTCTGGGTGCGGGGTGGGGGCGTGGCTCCCATTCAAAGGGTTCCAGCAGGCACGAACGTGGGCGTGGTCATGGGAAATACTGTGGGGCCGGACGTTGGGAAGGGGCGGGGCGGACGCGGAGCTCGCGGTGGGCCCAGGGCTCGGAGCCAACACTAGGCTCGCAGACTTCTCGAAAGGCAGCGGAGGCCTCGGGCCACCAGCAACCTGTACTCAGGCGAGGATCCCTCATTTAGGATGTCCTGCCTCACTTGCAGCGCAGCCGCCTGAGCTGCCCACCAGAAAACCTACCTCAGCCGTGTTTCTCCCTTGAATGAAGCGTCTGCACCTCAGACGGGCGTCCAGTCCCAACCCGGTGCCTGTGCCACTGCCCTCCACCCACACAAGCGCAGTGCGCACAGACTGAGGAGTGGGTTCCGCTCAGGGCTCTGTGTCCCACGCAGGCGCACTCCGCACGTGCCTCGCTGTCTGGAGTAGAACCACCGCTCAGGATCTACACACAGGCACAAGGCTCACACGCAGGCCTTGGGGAAGGCCCCGCCCAGGGCTAGGCGCAAGCGCACTTCATGGCCACGCCTCTCGGGCTTCGGGTTTAGAGAGCTGAGATATCTGGCTGTCGCTTTTGCAGCTGTGGTGCCTGGCGGGTCCTCTCGCGTCTCGCTGATTTAAGGAACAGGCGTCGCTTCTGGGGCTCGCGCGGCGGCCAGTGGGAGACTGCGCGGATTCCGCAGATCGGACGAGGACTTAAGGGCGAGACGGCAGCGCCGAGCGTCCTTGTGAGGTCCCGGCGCGCGGTAGCGTGAGGTGGGGCGGCCGGCCCCGGCCCCTGCATCTTGAAGACCACTCAGCTTGCGTACAGCCATGCACGTCTGGGACCGAGGACCCCTGTGGAGCCAGTGATGCCGCAGTGCACCTGTGGAGTGTCCTGGAAAAAAGCCTGTGAAGAGGCCAGGGCCTCGCTTCTTTCAGGCGAACGAATGCATGAAGGTTGGGGCCTGAGGGGCGGTGAGCTTGAAGGACTGCAGGCCGCGCAGCAGGTGTGCACCCAGGGCCATAGCCTCCCGAAGACCTTTGCCGGGTTTTGTGGGTCTTTTGGAAGAGAAGCTAAAGAGCTGAGCCAGCGTCCTAAAGGCTGACCGAGGCCCACATGGTCAGTCGAGGGTTCTCAGAAGCTCAGCAGCAATGGTCTGGGCCCAAAGTGGAATGGACTGCAGAAACCAACTCTGCATCTCCAACTCAGCACCCCCCCACACCCCCGGCAGCTTGACTAATTAGGAGAGGGCCTCTCCCTGATAGACGACGATATTAGGCATAAATCTAACATGCAATAGCCAAGTTCAGCAAAATCAAGCCAGAATATATACAAAGAAAACTGCAATGTCACATCAAAGTAAAACTGAAAATCAGTAGTTAATGAGAAAACCTTAAAAGTGCCAAAGGGAAAAGACCCATTACCCAAAAGATCATTAGGTTGGGGCTAATTTAGCAGAACTTAGGGGAACCAAAAGACAATGGAAAAGCATTCGTAAAGTGCTGAAAAGCAAACTGCTAAACCCAACTGACAGGACCTAGGAGATTCATCAAGTTCGTGTTCCCCAAAATTGAAGAATAAATTTTAAGGAACAATAAGACTAGGAAATATTTATTGAGAGGGAGAGATTTTACCTCCTTAGAGACAGGAGGAGGCTTGAGTGGGTTGCCACAGACCCCACTTTACAAGGGAAGTTTTATACAGCAAAATCACAGGGTGGCTGCATAATCACCAGGTGGGAACAATGTGGGACAAAACTATGATCAACCAGTAGGGTTATAAGTATAACCACGTAGGTAATATTGATCTAATGTGGAAGCAGGTCATGTAGTAAGCGTACTGTATATGGAAAGAACTTTTTTAGGAAGGGATGAATCTGGAGATCTTTGTCACCCACCAGGGTGACATGTCTGTCAAGACATTATTGGACCAGGTGTTGCTACATCTTATCCCTTGGAGAAAGTACATAGGCCTGGTCATTTCGGGGTTTTTTTTGTTTTGTTTTTGTTTTCTTTGGTACCGTGGATCGAACTTGGGTCCTTGCGCTTGTGCGCAAGCGGCAAAACCGCTGAGCTAAATCCCTGGCCCTGTTTCGTTTTTATCTTGAGGACTGACCTCTAACATGTGTCTCCAGCCACAGGTGTAATGTGTTTTCATCTTTTCTATTGATTTTTTCTAGGGCCTAGCTCTGTCTGTCTATAATATTTTTACTAACTTATCTGTTGATAGTATAACTACAGTATTTGTTACAAAGGAAGTCAAGATAAATTTGTTTTCAGATAAAATATGAGAGAATCTAACGCAAGCAAACCTGCACAAAAAAAATGTAAAAGAAGTATTTCAGGTCAAATTAAAAGGATCTCATAACTGCAGGAAAGAAAAAAAGAGGCCCAGAAAGTATAAATAAGTGAATGAATACATTTTAAAGTGTTTTCCTCATGATCTGAGGTTTATAATATGTAGAGATAAACTACATGCCAGCAACAGCTCAAAGAGCAAGGGGAATAAGAGGAATTAACTGTTGTAAGTTGCATCTTTATTAGGAAGTAGTGAAAGTGTAGTAACTTCAGGAGGTCAAGCGCATATTAAAAAAATACAGTGAGGGCTGGGGATTTAGCTCAGTGGTTTCGCTGCCTGCTGAGCAAGCGCAAGGACCTAAGTTTGATCCCCGGTACCAAAAAAAAAATACAGTGATACATTGATAGAAAAGGTAGTAATGGAGAAGGAAACAACAGGATGAATTAAAAACATCAAGATGCTCCCCCCCACCCCCACCTCTGGCCTCTTGGCTGTGTTGCTACCTGGTTCCACACTACAGAGGCACAAGGGGTCATAAAGGCCATTGTCCTGAGCTGCAAAAGTGAACAAAAGAGGGCTTCTCTCAGGCTCCCTGATGAAAACTGAAGCCCACTGGAAAAGTGAAGAGAATCTCTGCAATAAAGGCACACCAGACCACCATACTGGGTAAGTTGGAGGGATCATCACCTCCCATCGGAACCTGGACTATCTTCAGGGGAAAGGCAGCTGGAACCTGCAATAGAACCTTGCAGAGTTCAACTCTGCAGGAGGACAGCTCAACTTGGGACTTGCAGCCAGAAATCTACCTGAAATTCACGGGTCTCTGACTGGCTTGCTGAGACTCATTGACTTATAACTGCACACTGCTGCCCATGTTGTCTATTGTGACAGCAGAGACATACCCTGAAGGAGGCCTTTCATTTTTATTTTTTATTTTCAAAATTACCACTATTTTTTGCTCTTTTTAATTTTTTTTTCTTCTTTTTCTACTCTTTTAAAATTTTTATTTTTCTTTTTTCCTTCTTTGCTCTTTTTTCTCTCTCTCCCTCACTCCCTTGCTGTCCCACATTGTTCTTCATCTCCCTTTGTGTTCCTGTTCTGGCCCTAATTTGGATTTCTTTATTTTTCTTTTCTTCTCTTTCCTTCTCTTGCCTGTGTCCTCTGGCCTCACTGCTAACCTTCCCCTATCCTTCTGCCTACCTATCTCTCCCTCCTCAACTCCTTCTAACTCCCCATCCAGAAGGGTAAAATCGCTATATTGAAGAGTTTATTCACTATAAACATATGTTGGGTTGGTCCTCGATTTTGATTTAATTCACACAGTTAAAGGTGATAGATTAATAACTTTCACAAATTGTTATTTTCTAAGATGTGTTTGATGCTATGGTGTTGCTGATTGTATCACTTGGGCTAAGGTGTTGTGATTGATCTAATCAGTTGTCCTTCCTGGTATAATGAAAATGAGACAGCCTCAGAGTCATTAGAGACTCAAAACCTAAAGACCAGCTATATCTAGAAGACACCATTCCATAAGGGTTCAAATTACAAGCAGCAAAGATACTTACAATAAGCAATTTCAAGGTATCAACCCAGGAATTAAACCAAGGACAGTAACAAAAACAAAAATGAGAAGACATTTAAGCAAGGCACAAACTGAGATATCCTCCCCACCAAGGGTAAATTCTGTGGGAAACGAAGTGGAAAAGTCTGATAATCAACCACCTGGACACCCTGAAATGATAGCACAGGAAGTAACAATCAGATGAATGAGGCCCTAGAAAAATTCAAAACAGAAATAATTTCCCAGATAACTACAGAGATGGTGAACAGAGTGAAAGACATGATTAGAGGCTCTAGAACAGAAATAGAAAAAAAAAATACATGAGCTCAGAAACATGTTGGAAGCCATGAATGCCCAGCATAAGAAAGAAATGGAAACCATGATCACCCAACATAAGAAAGAAATGGAATCCATGAAACAGATTCAAACATATCCAGGAGATTAAAAATTCCATTGGAAGTATTCACAGTAGATTAAGGGAATCTGAAGATAGGGTATCAGATATAGAAGACAGGATTGCAGTTAATGACCATGAAAACAGATTTCTTCAAAATAGTAAGGGACCATGAGAAATCAATCCAGCAGCTGCTAGATGATGCAAAAAAGAATAACATAAGACTGATAGGAGTCCACAAAAAAATAGGAGGAAGTACAATTGACATAAAAAAACTTCACAGAAGCAAGTAGAAAACTTCCCAGACAGAGGTGGAGAATCAGACATACAGATAAGTGAGGCATATAGAACTCCAACTACCCATGATAAAAAAAATCTACACCTAGACATATAATAGTCAAGATCCCAGAAACCCAACAGAAGAACAAAATCCTATAGGCAGAGAAACAAATCACCTACAAAGGAAAGCCAAGCAGAATCACAGCAGACTTCTCAACACAAACCCTCAAATCAAGGAGAGCCTGGAGTGAAATATTTCAAGCCCTAAAAGAAAATAACTTCCAACCTAGACTGTTATATCCTGCAAAATTATCTTTCACAATCAGTGAGGAAATTAGATAACTTTCACGACAAAGAGCACCTGAGAAATTTCATGAACACCAAACCAGCACTCCAAACAATTCTAAGCAATAGCATAAAAAAAAGACAATGAAGGTCACAACTCCATGAGGCCCAACAGAGGGAAGTCACCAGGCAAGGTAAGAAACTAAAGGGAAAGGGGGGGAAAAAATAAAGAGCCAACAACAGTAAAATGTGACAAGGATGAATTAATATCCATCAATTATTTCCATCAATGTTAATGGCCTCAATTCACCAATCAAAAGAAATAGACTGGCAGAATGGATTAAGAAGCAAAATCCAGCAATATGCTGTATACAAGCAACACACCTAACTCAAAAAGAAACTCATAGACTGAAAGTAAAAGGATGGAAAACAGTTCTCCACACCACAGGAACCCAGAAAAAAGCAGGGGTAGCCATCTTTTTTGCAGACAAAGTAGATTTCAAACCAAAACTAATTAAGAAAGACAAAGATGGTCACTACATCCTTGTGAAAGAAACAATCCAGGAGGAAGAGATGACACTCATAAATATGTATGCACCAAATATGAATGCCCCCAACTACACACAAAAAAAATTGATGGACATGAAAAACCAAATAAGCACTAATACAATTGCAGTGGGGGACCTCAATACCTCATTATCACAAATAGATCATCTAGACAAAAAATTAACGAAATTCTAGAACTGAACCGAGCTATTTAACAAATGGACTTAATAGATGTTTACAGAGTGTTCCACCCCACAAAATCAGAATACACATTCTTTTCAGCTGCATACAGGTCATTCTCCAAAATAGACCACATGCTAGCTCATAGGACATGTCTAAGTAAATCTAAAAGAATTGAAGTTACCCCCTGTA